ATGTTCCAGAAGTCCCAGTGTTCATTGGGTTCCAAGACACAAATGAAACAGAAAACATATATAAAGTGGACAAATATAAGGATGGAGCGTTGCAGTCGCCCTCTTGATTTTGTCATTTGCTTCCTTCACCCACCTCACACACAGATTCAATGAACGTATATATATATATATATGGAAGCCGTTTGATAGATACAAAAGGTGCAATTGACACTATATATATAGATATATAATGCTATATTTTTGCGATACAATAGGAATCACTAAGGAAGGAACTCGGCGTTAAAATTGTTGACTTCTCCTTTTGCCCATAGTTCATGACATTGATCATACTCTTGGTCAATCCTTTGCAAGTGGTCTTGCAAGGCTTTGACATTCCTGGGCGACAGTACAGTTGGGGGTCATTGGTCATGATACATGCAGAGTCACAGGATTCATTCACCTCTTTCTATATATATATATATGTTGTACAAACATAAAACTGCGCACGATGCACTTGCAAATGAGGTTCCCTGGGGTGGAGGCACATGTTTTATAGGATTCGTTCAGCTCACGGATTAACCCCCGAAGCTTTCCGGTCTTCTGTAGCATTGAGTTCATAAAGCGGCTGAAGGTTGTTTTGGTCTTCAGGGCCAAGCGTGAAAAACACAGCAAAACAAAGTTCACATGAACAGAAAGCATGAGAGCTGGGTGTGGAAATTCAGGTGTCTCCCCCCACCTCCTGTTCCTGGGACATCGCGTTTGCCTCAGGAGATGCCTTCGCCTTCTCGGTGGCCTTCTCACGTGCCTGAGCAGCCTCCAGGCCACTGAACGCGTCGCCGTCAAGAACTGGAGCTGCATCAGCCTCACAAAGCCAATCCAACATAATGTGTGGCATGAGTTTGGAGGGTTGGGTTTTTGGGCACACCCCACATCCCAGGAGAGGCTTTCTGGGAAACACATGGAACAGTGATGACTTTGTCACATGGGCCAATGAAGGTGTGCACATGGGGCGGGCATGGCCTTCGAGACACCACGCTCAATCTGCTCCTGCACATGCTGTTCTTCACGCTGTTGCTTCTCCCTCACAACAACGAAGTACTCGGTCTCGCCGTCGTAGGCATTCTTCCTGCAAAACAACACGGCCAATTCCGAGCATGCGAATGGCAAAAGGGCACTATATATACAAGCTAGCATCTATATACTGCAAAACATCCATGCATGGAGTCACAAAGAACGTCCAGGATCCACAAGCATAGATTCGATATGATTCGATCCTAAAATTGTGTAACAAAACAATAAGCAGGCTCAGGATCGTACCGAATGTGCGTGTCACGCTTGGCTTCGCATGCGCGCTTAGCGCCAGCGATCCTGCTCCTTAACTTTGAAAGTGTGAGGACATGTGAACATTAATTGTCTTGTACTTTCCACTTCATTGCTTCAAGTTTCTTTCCACTCGCCGCGACAGTACTGTGCAACTATATAATAGTAAATAGCAAAACTCAAACACAGCTCCCACTCGATCACAGTTCTTGTTCAACAGCGGTTGCATGACTGCTTGCAATGAAAGAGTCGGAGACCATCCCAATTCCTTCATCTCCTTCTCTGTCATCCACTCTTCGTCCACCCAAGTAGTCACAGCTTTCTTCTTTTTAATGATCACTTCTACAGTGTTGATGAAGACGTCCTGCCCCGATACATGTAGATATTGCGTGTTGTGTATTCGTCAGCTTCAGTGTTAATCGGTTGTTCGATATACAGAAGTATATAGTGTCCATGTGTTGTGAACAATGAAGCAAGAACTTTGGGCACGATACACGCAGGGGAGCTCCTTGTCCCAATTCGAGTCCATCAAAAGCTTGGCCATGGCTCCCTGGTCTTGTGTTTGCCATGCCTGTTTGACAAAATCCGGCACGTTGAGACCTGTCCGTCTCTTGTGGGGCGCGATCATTCTCCGAATGCGAGCTTTGGCTGCTTCTTTCAAGAGGTCCTGAAGCCGGTGGGTTTGGATGCCACCAAAGTCGGACACCTTCAGTGGGTTTGGACGCGTTTGTTTTGGAAGCTGATAGTGCCCCCGTTTTGTATTGGGTTTCCACGCTGATAGTGACCCCCGATTGGATGCCGTAATGTGGAAGTCACCAATCCCTTTGTTTGGATGCGGTTACATGTGTTTACAACTTACATATGTATATAATATGTGTATATATATATATATAGATGGGTCCTGCTTGGATGAAACAGTTCAGGATGATATGTGGTATTCTGTAAATATATAGGCCTCCCACATACATATATATATATACATATATATACATATTTATTTAATATAGGCTATATAGGGATCCAAATGATAGTGCAGCTGGCCATGCCCGAAACCTTTGGTGCGTACCATCATATGCAATCACAAATATAGGAGCATGTTTCAGGATCCCGTGGAGGCAAACGAGCGAATGACAAAGAACACCAACAAAAGTTGAGATCAGCAAACTTGATTCAATGTTGTGACCTGTTCGATGGAGGTTGTAGAGATGGCAAACCAATAGCATGAACACCACTTGCGTCTATACAAAGCAAACTTTGTTTGTGTACATAACCTCGTAGGTCTATGTTTCCACTTCATGTGTTGTCCTCATGGCAGGTAGTGACAAGAAGCAAAAGTATGGCTATAAACTTCCACTGCCTTCTCACTATAATTATTATATGTTGACATCTCCGGCGCTTTGCCATGCAGGCTCCTGTCGAGAGCGACCCTTCCTCTTTTGCGGAGCCGTGGCAGAGGCGTCGGGCTTGGGTTCGTCTTTCTCTGCAGTGGATGGAACCTGGCAGATGCATCATTGCTCACCCACTTATAATATATATATATTAAACATATACAAATGTGCAAAAATCGACATATATATATATATGTATATATAGTTCACATCATAGGCTTTCAGCTTCCAGAGAGGAAACACACTCTTGGGCAAACGCATGCCTCCAAAGCTGGCTGGGCGGGATCCTCTCTGTCAGCCCGTGTAGGAGTAGGCACTGGTCGAGCGGCATCCTACACAGGTCTCAATACTAAAAGGTTAAGCAAATATATACATAAACAATAGCACGCATGCAACGAGACATAAACAATGTCATGCAGGTGTTCATCAATTCTTGCAGTTCAATCACCTTTGCATGTGTATAGTGATCGTGCATAAAAGACCAATTAATGCGTATATGTTTCTCTTTTATACGACCTCATGCAAGCAATGCATGACCAGAAGACTGCGCAACTCCTGCGCGGTCTTGCCATTGCCCTGGTCCATAGCTATGTGCACACCAGCTTGATGAAGTTGTGATGCCGTGGCCTGCCAGCACATGGGACATTGCCTCGCAGCCCGACAGGCTGCACAAACCATCGATATAGATATGATTGAATCAAAAAGCCCAAACCCTCTGACATCATGACCAGCCTCCAGGGTCTGAGCCTCCCAAATCTGAAGTGCAGGAACGGCTGGTTCTTGGAGTTGATGCTTGCTGTTGGGGTCCTCAAGCCAGGGCAAGCAGTCTTTGGTGGCTGGGCATTCGTCGGAAAACATTATAGTATTTGATCCACATGTTAGATGCAAACGATTTCCACTGTTTGAGCACCATATTCCCACATTCATGGCGCCCCTACTGCCTCTAAAGGTGCTGCCTCCTTCTGCTGGGCCGCTCCATCAACTTTATTCAGGTCCTGTCACAGTTGTGACCCGACGTGACAGGTTGAAAACTATATACAGTGGTGTCCCAGTAGATACTTATTTGAATCGAGAACTCAATCACGCAATATTATTCTATATATCACAAAGCCATCCAACACGACTACGTGTTAGAAAAAGGAAATGCAAAAACCTGTACATATAGGGCCATATGCGTTGAAGGTATTTGCTCGGTTGCAGGTCATTGTCATGTGGCTTGCGCACATTCATGTACGCGTGTATATATATATAGGCCGTGCCAACATGCACAATTGTTTTACCTTTTTGTATATAGTTCCAGATATTTGTTGTAAGATATTGCGCCGCACATATATGAGTTTCCCCGGTACTGCCTCCAGTTGCCGTTCAAGTTCTCGTTCCATCTCTTCCAACTCCCGGGCTTCAGATGAGACATACTGAAGTCCATCTGAGAGGGTGCCACAACTCCAAATCCGTGAAGTTGTTGGCATGGTGGACAGTCTGTCGGCCATGACTACGATTCACAGGGACCCTACACACCCCAAAGGCACTACACTCGCGATCCTCAACCACACAAACATGTATGAAAAGGCAGTCTAAGGTTCAACAGCTGCCAAAATCATCTTCAAGCAGCTCATGTTTGAAGAGCCAGAAGCATAAAGTTCTATATAGCGCTTCTTTTTGCACAGTCTGATCAACCGTGCAACCCGGATATCTAATTGAGCATCGATCGCTGGTGGATCAAAGGCCTAAAAGTAGTATGAATCCTGTCCATGTTCGGACCCTATAGAACCCATAGAATTCCACGGGTTCTCCACGGTTTGCCACGGGTTATCCACGGGTTCTCCACGGGTTTGAAGAAACGGGTTCTTTCCAAGAAACGAGTTCTTTAACGCGCGCCACGGATATCCACGGGTTCGCCACGGATATCCACGGGTTCTCCACGGGTTGTACCATCCAGGGGCATATTAGGCTATAATTTTCTATCAAGAGGCTTCGAAAATGGTGTCAACCATGAGACTGATTTGGTTCGCGCGCGCTCAAACAGTGCTATAGGATATAGATTTGCTTTGTGAAGTTCTTCCGTGCGGGTCGACAGGCAAGGATTCTTGCAGGAATGGTGTTGAAACCTCAACTGATCTGATCCCACATGCACAAAGCCAAAGGATAGCTATTCTCAATTGTTATTTATCACGACACAGCCACGCGCACTGCAAATGGTGGTGTGTGAGTTCGTAGCTTTGGCATATATATAGCACTTCACAAGAAGTATGGTCTCGATGAACTTGGGACCTTGCATATGTACTCTCATTCGTACGAGGTTCACACTTCAATTTACGAAGGCTTTGGGATCAGACCCTCCCACTCCTTTGGAATAAGGAGGTGCCTACCCCGTCTCAAGTAGTCAAAGGTAGTTTGAAGCTTTGCAAATCCAAGGCTGTATGCATCCTCCGACGGCAAAGATTGAAATGAGGCAGCGGCGGCGGGGATCACTGCTGGCAATCGGGGCTGGCCGCGAGCGGAGGCGATCAGATGTGGGAAGATGTCAACCATCTCTCTTCCAAACTGCAAGGGGTATATCCTGAGTGCTGCGGCAAGCATTGTGGCAAACCTAAAGTTCATCCCAACAAAACTTTAAGCTCAATTGACATATATATAAATTCAATGAAGCAATCTTCAAATACTTGTGAACCCATTGCTTGCCTGCATGGATGTGGGGTGGGAAAACCATGGGTGAGCTTCTCTCTCATATAGATACCCCCTGAGGTGGCCCCAAGAAAGTTTGCGAACACCAACCAAGAGTCTCTGTTGCGCGCAAAGCCGGTGTGCCCTTGTATCGTTTCTTTCCACTCTTGTCTATATAGGTGACTGCCGTTTTCACATTGGCCTTGTTCTTACGTTTCTTCCAACCAGATAAAACTCCTTTATCCAATTTGTTCATGGCCATGCTGTTGCTGTAGGCAAAATGCCTTTTGGGAGTTGGAGCTAGGTAATGCCCCATCCACCAAGCAACTCGTGTAACCTGAGCCAGGCAAGAGCAGGGAATCCGTCAAGCACACGCGGAAGGGTTTTTTTGTTTTATACTTTCAGACTGGTGCCTTTCAGACAACCCTATACAACTATTTAGGCCGATTCCCTAATATATATATATATCGATCTATAGAAGCCCCACCATGTCAACCATTGGATCTTCTATATATATATATATAGGTCTTGAGCCGGCCCACTATCAGATGTATATACTTTCATTCGCATAAATGTTCAACCATTCTTTGTGAACCACACGTGACTATTTCCCAATATACGGCTCGATCTTTGTACACAATCTTGTTGGCAAGGGTGTGCAAAAAATACAAAAGGGCCTACATTGCGCAAACATCCTTGTGGGTTCAACGCATCGCCAAATGGATGGCGAGGGGCAGCACTCGACCCATGGCTTTCCATTATCACTGTCAGGAACTCTCTGAAAGCTGGATAGAACCCCAAGCAGCTAGAATTCGGCTGTTCTAGCCCCCACACTCCGCCTAAAGCAGTCACCAGCAGGAGAAGATGAATTGTCCTCGATCGGCCGAAATCAAAGTGAAACCAATTGATATAATATTCCCTGCACAGGCGCATGGCTTGTATAAGACAGATTTGGCCACTGGAGCTGCCCAAACATGAGGGTACATTATATATACAGAAGAAAGTGCAGAGGAGAATCCGTTCCAACATTGCATTGGATGCAAAAACAGATTCATACTCATCGTAGCCAATAGAGGTACACATGCTGCGCTTTGACGTTCCCTGGTTTATCCCAGTCCAACTGGCGCACTTTATAGCGAACATCGCCAGGAACCGTTGTGGAGCACACTTCAGGATCGAGGCCACAGCCAGCCTGGGATGAAGTGAGGGCTTGGGATTCATGGTTTCCCCAAACTTTCCAATCTGGCAAGTTCAACAAAGCATTTGTTTGGTTTCTTTTGTACTACTGTGACCCTCACATGTACATGTTTAAAGTTCAGAAGTTGAATTCTTTCGGGTTTTCCGTTTTATATACAGTAGTGAGTCCAAGCGACGCAAATCCGGAGTCACTGAGAAGGTCCATTGGATTGCTTTGGTGCTTCCTTTTGGTCACGCCCACTTGCGAACCAAAAAGGAAATCCAGTTTGGCCGCTCTGAGTCCCGACAGCCGCATCATGCGAGTCAAGTTCCCCTTGCCTGCATAGAACTCCACACAGTCAAACTCCTGCAGGAAAACGATTCAGCACTGAACCCCTGGTCTGGGTCAATTATACACGAAGAACGTTCAGCGGTGATATGAATATATATATATATATATGGTATATATAAAAGCATTTTACACGTCATGCACATTCGCATATAGTTGCCAAATATAAGTTCGATCCTTTTACAAATATATAGTTTTGGACCCAGTTCTCCTCCGACAGGTCAAGGGTCCCTGTCCAAAGCACCATCAAGATGATGGAGGCCATGACCTGGATCGCAGGGTTGGCTGGCCAAGGAAGCATTTGATATCCACAAACGTGAGACCCTATATGGGAGGTACACATATAAATATGTGCTTGCAGGGTGTCTTGCAGGGTGTCACCAATGACCAATGAGCCTGTGTGCACATTGTTTTTTTACTTCTTCTCTATATATATAGACAGCCCGGTGCACAAGGCAAACAGATCTAGGTGGTCCCGCCTTTGGGCATCGGAGGACCTTCAGGCGGTACATGAAAGCGTCTAAATCTGCGCCCTTCATCAGAGCTGGTTGCTCTTCCAACTTCAAAAAAGGCTGCAAGACCACATCAGTGGACAAGATTGGACAACTCTCACCCAATTCCCTCCAGTATATATAAACTACGTTTCTTTGTCGATATAGTATGACGTGAGATGCACCAAATTCTTACTGCATCAGAAGTTGACAGACTCAATGCCATATGTTTGTACATAAATATCTAAAAGCGGGTACACGGGAAACTCATGCCAGAAGTTCGATGTGACTTCTTCTTCTTTTGCTTTGCTCGCACCTTGAAAAGCTTCCGTTTGGAAGCTCGTGGCATCGCGGGCCATCAGCCTGGCCGTGCCGATGCGGAGTGTTGCAAGAGAATGTTTCTGTGTGGGGCACGCCTTTTGCCTTTAAAGGGTTGAAACGATATGTCAATATCATTCAGCAAATATTTGCCAATGTTTTGATATAACAGATACTGTACTGTATTCAGACCGCAATGATATAAATATTCATCGATCTTCATGGTTGCAGAATTACAGTATTCACATACGTTTGACCCACAAACACACCCAATTAATGCCCAGACAACCCAGTCTTTTTGAGCTCTCCAAAACGCAAACGGTGCACGCTAAGATGCAAACATGTATATGTTCCGAGTCCATGTTTGCAAGACTTTCGAATGAAGATTTATGGAATGTTCCACACAAGCAGGCTGAGCAGGCTTCTTTTAAACTCAGAACGCATTCCATAAACAAAGAACACAAGCAAAGGTCTTTTACACGATGTATCGACAGGCATACACACACATATACATGCACCTCAACGCCTTTTACAACACATACACTATTGAAAGGAATTTGTCACCTGCTCAGGGCTAGACTCGTGTGCACACATTCAGCCCCTGTAAGATTAACCCCAAATGCCATCAAATGTTTTGACAGCTGCCCTGCACATTGGGTTTACATCTTATCCACTACTTGTGCAAGGTTCACCTCCAGGCACGCCATGAGGGATCAATTGAGCTGGGTCAAGTGTTCATAGGGATTCTCTGTGCACAAGAAGTGCAAGGCAAGCGCTCCGTTGACTTTCAAGTTCATGATCTCCTCCCCATCCTTCTCAAATCCAGCATTGTCAGCATCAACCCCCATAGCCTGGGCAGCAATATACACAGTCTGCAAACAACTTTGGCACAGAGAGAGATCTATATATATATATATATAGATGTTGCAGTTCTATAGATCAGACACCGTTTTTTACATGGAGTTGAACGCGAAGATTCTATAAGTTTGTTTCATGGTTGCTGAGTGGACGTGTATACAGCGCACAATTGAACCAGCTATAAATGAATGTGGCCAGAGCTTTTGGATGTGTAGTTTTGGCTATATGTAGTGTTCTGTTCACTCTAAGGGGCTGCGAGCTCTGCAGAACGTACAGCCACTGCCGTCAAGCGCACCGAAGATGCCTTGATTGAGTTCCAGCTGAAGTGATGAATGTCCTTGCTTTTCTTGGTTGGCTTGTCCTTCTTCTTCTTCTTGCCGCTGGCGGCGCCTTCCTCATTCAAGACGCTAACTCCACAAGCGCTGCGCGTCCAGTAGGTGTTCAGGTGACAGGTCTTGAGTGGAGCAAGGCGGTCACGAACGGCCTTCTTGAAGTTCTCGAAGTTCTCAGGCTGATTGTAGGTCTCATCGAAGCCCAAAGCAAAGTCCATCAAAGCTTTGATCACCACATCACTCCGCCGATCACTCTCCAGCAGCAAGTCATAGGCTGAGGCACGGCGGGCACGTCCCTTGGCCTTGGCCTTTGCCTTTGCCTTTTCAGCAGCTTGCGGCTTGGCTTTCTTCTTGGTCTCAGCCTTTGGCTTTTTGGTCTTGGGCTTTCCATCAGAGCCCTTGTTATTCTTTGCCTTGGTCTCGCCCGGCTCAGGCAGCTCAGCCTTTGATGCTGCACGCTTTCGCCTCTTGCCTTTGGCTTCACCCTGCGCACTCATCTCAGGCAATTCTTCAGCAGGTTCCTCGGCATTGGCTGCAGCATTCTTCAAGATGCGCCTTTTGCGCGATGCCTTTGGCCAAGCCATTGCTGACCCTGCTGATTGGCTTTGGGTAGATGTCTTCTTTGAGCCCTTCTTACCACGCTTGCTCTTCTTGCCATTCTTGCGTGGCTTCCTGGATTTGCCCTTTGGGGCATGAGACTCATTCTTCTCACCTTCGTTTTTTCCTTTGCATCCTTTTTCTTCTTTCGGCCATCCTTCTTTTCTTTCTTGTGGGAAAGCTGATCATTTCGTGTGACAAAATCGACTTCTTCAACCCCCTCTCCTTGCACCATTGCCTCTGCGGGAGGAAGCTGTGAGTCTTCCTTTTGCCACCATTCGTCATGTTTACCACCCTCAGTTCCCATGTTCTCATCCACCGCATCATCGGTCTTGGCTTCCTTGAAGCACGTGTTTTGCGCATGTATATTGGGCAAGAGCTAAAGGAAACACATTGAAAACTGATGGCACCACACCCGTTCTCAGAGTTGTGCAGCTTAAGCAGGTCTCTATATATATATATTATAACTGATATTTATATGCGCACCCAAATTATAAACCTTGTTGGATCACAAGCTTCTAAGCCCAATAACCCCAGTCCTTTGCATCGCTGCTCCCATCTGTCTTGGCAGGTGGTTCCATTGGGGATGCAGCTTCCGGAGAAGCAAGTCCAGGAGCGGGCTGGGTGGCGGTTTGGTTGCCTCGGGGTTCTCCTCCTTGTCCATCTTTTCCGGACGCACGTACGTACTGCTGACGGCGAGCACTGGGAGACAACCCCGGGGAACTCTTAAGTGGCTCCACCTTTTCCACCGAGTTCCTTTCGACAGCGGACTCCACCTCTGAGATGTGCATTGGGACAGTCTCCAAATTGTCCACCACCGAGCCAGCACCTGCATCGATCGATGTCTGATCGATGACCCATTTATATAGTTAAGGGTATATCAAGGAAAGCCGAACTCGATCCAAAGATATATATAGATATACATATATATATATTTGGTTTTTACTTATATATACATATATTTTATAATATTTTATAATATACACGCGTCTCTCCAAAAGAAAAAATGATAAGACATCACTGGTGCAGATGGCGGCAACCGTTGGGTTCCAGTTCTTGTCATGCCTATTTAAAGGCAACTACTTGTGGAAAGCAGTACATTGGAACCCGCCTGGATGTGTGCCTGCGGGCTGACCCTGGCCTGAACTCTTAGCAGCCAAAGCTTGCTTCCTGGCTTTGAGCCTGAGGCGCAAAACAAAGGTCGCTTCTTATATGTGTGTATTTATGGACAAAGAACTGATACATATACCCATGCGAACATATTTATATATGTATATGCTAATATCAGGTCCCTTGCATGGGTACAAACATATATACAGAAACATATCCCTTTCCAGTCTTGCACTCAATCATTGAGAAACAACGTGCATCCCACTGACACCCAAACAGCCAGTCTAGGCCCTGAACTCCGCAAGCTGCTGCAAGATCTTTCTTCTTTTTGCTTCCGTATCATCACCTGCATGTGGCGCACAGTCTGCACTAAACAACAGTGGACATCCTCCTGAGCTGTTTCTATAACAAAGATGTCACATGCACAAAATAATGGAGATGTTCATTTGTTAGGCGCTCATACTTGGGGCACTTGAAGACATTATATACGTGTGATGTTCACAGCCAGTCCACTCACCAAACAACCGGAACACAGCAGGGCGCCTGTGGTTGCATCTTGGGGAGTTGGCTCCACAGGCTTCACCACTGGCGGTCCAACAGGCTGATTGGTAGCATGCTCGGCATGCTCGGGTTCTGTTGTTGATGGCTGGGACTCCAGATCAATCACTTCATTGGCTGGGGCCAAGCAGGGTCCGCTCAACTCTGGTACCTCCGCGGCCGGGATAGAGGAAGATGAGGTGCCTCCGTGGACTGGGATGTCCTTGCCTACCACCTCTTCAACTTCAACGTCATCATCATCATCATCCTCCGACTCGTCATATGCATCAGGATCCACCTCATCCTCCACAGATGCGTGGCCATCCTGAAGCCAATGGGAATCCAAAATTCTGCAAACGTAGATCCATGACAAGTTGCTATATAAGCCTAAATTGCCCTTTATGTAGTTAATGACGCCTGGGTCCTCTTTTTATCCACTGCGCGATGATGAGTATGATTGAACTTTTCTTCAATGCAGCATGACTTTCCAAGTCTATAATACACAAAGTATATGCTTACAATAAAGACTCAGCATTGTAAATTGATAAAAGCTCTGCAGAACATGAGCTGTAAAGGACGCATGTATAGGCCACCTGGTTTCAAACATTCAAGGACAAATAATTCCAAACATATATATATAAGGCCAAAGCTCTTGGGCTCTGCGCTGAGCACGTTTCTTCTCCACTTTGCGGTTGATCTCTGCGCAAAGATCCTGTGGATGCAAGGAAAGAAAGCCGTATATCAGCGTATGTATTTGACGTGCGCATCCTTTACACTTGTATACATGTTTTGTCAATATGAGTTGTACTGTGATATACTGTGTGTACTTTGCATGCCATGTATACATATATATATATATATATGGACATATATGAGACAAGTTGCAAGCGCTGGACCAAATGGTGGATTTGGACCCTGAATGGGATAGTTAATATGTTGCGCTTTATGATGCTTTATGTCTTATATATGTGTTGGCTGGTGAGAGCGGAAGGGCAGCAAAGGTTCCAATGTCTCCTGTCCTCAAGGTCCGGCCGGAGAATCATGCAAAGCTGCTGGAAGCGCAAAGCCTCATTACAAAGTCAAATTGCCACGTTGGTGTTGCGGTGTCTCTATATATATCGGAATGTTGTTTGTGGTTCGATGGATGCATATCTGAAAACAGCGGAAGGGGTATATGATGTTTTTAATTTAGTCAAAACAAATTGCATCCAAATAGCAGTCGAGGGTTTCTTGATCCTCGCCTTCATCTTGACCAGCCCAAGGAATTTCCGTACCATCCACGAGTCATGAACAACATCACTGTCATCAGCAGACTTGTTTTTGCAGCATGACTTGTACAGTTTTGACAATTCCTCTCTGAGGGGCTCCACTGCGGGCTGCGGACACCCCTGGGTGCTTTTCATGCGGGCCAAGACTGGAGCAAGCACTTCGTAAATCACACTTTGGCATGATGTCTTGACTGTTTCATTCAAATTTTCGCAAAAGAGAACTGCTCCATCCTGCAGCAAATGACTGCGGATCTCCCTCGATTGCTCCCACTCCATAGCGAGCCCGTCAACATCGAGCTTGTGTTTCCCCTCCGCGTCGATGCTCTCAGACGACATCTGAATCGTCCGTGGTCGAATAGCCTTTTAACCAAGGTGCTTGGGCCCAAAAGTCTGGGCGGCGTAGCTGGTAGTGTGCTTTGGCATGCCAATGCTTGCATATATGCTTGCATATATAACCCAAAGAATATGATCCCAATATATCACACAGGTATATTCAAAAGATCGAGTGACAAACCCTTCCACACCTGTTGAATCCTTTTAACATCCCTTCGTGTGTGTCAAGTATGTATATACAAGCTCCACATATAAAGACCTTTGCAACGCAGGACTGGCGAATGCTTGCGGAATCTTGCCTCGTCCGCATCAGTTGAAAAGTCCATGGGACCGGTTGCTCGCTGGGCTGGGTTAGCTTGATAGGCTCTATATGTTCATGCAGTTGCAGCCGGTTGTGCATTTACCCTGGGATATAGCAACAACCATGCAGTTCGGATCCAATGTTGTAAATACCAAAAATGCAGAATGAAATCACTGCAACTCATGGTTTGTATGATCGATATTCACACCGCCTTTTAAGGTCATCGGAATATGCACGTGACCATGAGAAGCAGGTCTTCCTGCGATGCCGATCCTTGAGCGGTGCTGATTAGCACACGACCTCCTGAAAGGAGCCATTAAATAGGCAAAGCCACACCTTATAGGAAGGCAAAAGGACAGCATAGAGGGCTCACACACCACATGGTGGGACTCAAACATTGAGTATTTTAAGGATCTTGCCAAAGAATCGAGTTTTTTCCTGGAAAGTCGAGTTTTTCAGACCAACCTCTTGAAGAGTCGATGTCCTGACACTGAACCTACATTTTTATAGGTTCTTGAAGCTGATGGTATCAGAATAAACTGAATACACATCCAAAGCAACAACACATGGCTGTCAAAGTGTCACGGGCCACGCATGATGAATCAAGAGGCAATTTCTGCGTTCCATATGGTTGGATACCAAGGGAGTCGGTGCTAAGGAGTATATAAAATTGCAACACTAGTTTTGATTCTAAACGAAATTATGAAGCGACACGCAGGATAATACTCTAAAACACAAGCTAAGCGCTAGCGTGGTGCTTGTGGCGTGCTGGTGCTTTGAATCTGCTTTTGATTGCTAGAAACCATTTGCTTGGCAGTTTCATAGGGCTAGCAGGCATAGTATCGGTGATGGGGTATACCTGAGCAGCTAAAGCACAGTATACTACCTACTTGACGAACGCAAAAGCCCACAAGAGTCGGCAAAGGAAACAGCTTAAGCAAATGCAGCAAAGCACAGAGAGCAGCTCATTAGTTGAGGTACAAAGCATGCGCTAGTGTATTTTGCTGTGAGAACAAAACACCAGTCAAAACACCATAAAGCAAGGTTTCACCGTTAGTGTCAGCTATAAACA